CTGTGCACGCTGGAGCGCAGACGCCCGCTCCTGCGCTTCCTGCCGCTGTAAGTCAAGTCAGAGTGGAGATCACGAAAGCCGCCCGCATTCAGGAGTGTGACCATCCCGTCCTTGATGCACGGGAACTTAGAGGTCCATGCATGTCGAGCCAGAAGTGTGCGAGCCAAGGCCATATCAGATCGCCACACCGCCCGCGCCACGCTCCTCGCGATCATCGCCCTCTGCGCCTTGCCATTCGAGAGGCGCTGCAGCTGGCGGTTGCGAGTGAGGCGGCCTGCAATCTGTCGACATTTCGTGGCCACCCACAGCTCCTCAACAGGGGGCATGATGGACTGGATCCCGCACAATTTCTCGTATTCCGCAACCAACTTGGCAAAGAGTGGGTCCTTGCAGATGCTCTGGGGGATCGGGCGATCACGTTTCGACGTCTTGCACGATGCGAACGTGAGCACAACCGGGACATGGTCGCTGATGCGCTGGCGGCGGTACTCCTCAGGTTCACCGCAAACGTGCATTGACTGGTGGAACTGGACCAGCAGCCAGGGAGGGCAAGCCACAAACGCACGATCCACTCGGTTGGCCGACTGGGCCCCTTGATGCCAGTTCGTGGGCCGATCGATCTCCATCTCCGTCATGCCCCTCCAGATCTGGCGCCAGAGCGAGTCCCCAGGCCGGCCCCCCCTTCCTCGGGGGGCCGCCGACCGCCTCGCAGACGGCGCTGGGCATGGCTGACCAGTACCAGCCGCCGAGGACCCAGTACACGTGGATGTCCACATGGACGCTCCCAACCCATTATCTCCCGTGGGGAGGCCGACGTCCCCAGGCGGCTCGACACCCTCAGGCGGCTCGACTCCATTCGGGGGCCGCGCGCTGGAGAGTGGCCTCGCGCTGGATGGCGAAGGAGGGGAGGGGTCCACGAGTGAGGAAGTCCTCTGTGAACGACTCGGCTGCCGAGGTAGTTCAGACACAGCAGTAGATCGATCAGCGGGAGCATCCGAAATTTTGAAGTCTCCGATCAAGATCTGGGCGAACCGCATCGGGTACAGGAGAACTTCATCTTGCTGAGCACGCGCCAGAACACGAAGCTGAAGAAGATCGGCCTTGTCGATGCCGTAATGGTGCACACTCCAATGAAAGAAGGTGAAGCCCGTGACTCGGTGTCGAACTTCCAGGACCAAGACGCGGCCAGGGACTTCGCGCACTCGACGAATGAGAAGAGAGGGAGACAGATGTTCAGGCAGAAGAGTAACCAGCCCACCCCCGATCTCAGCACCAGGGGGTTCCGATACGAATTTCATGCATGGTCGCCCAGACCGCTGCAGAACTTCGTGAACAGCGGCTTCATTCCCTCGAACTTCTTGAAGAGCGATGATGGAGGTGACGGAGTAGAGGGAGTTGAGGATGGAGAGCTTGCGATCGATGCCCTGGGACGGGTAGTGACAGAGGGAGAAGCAATTCCAGGACACGAACCGCACTTCAGTAGCATTCATGATCGTGTTACCCATCCCACTCGACAGTGGGACGCAGGAAGAGGTTCTTGACCAGCTTGTCGAGCGGGCCCTTCTCCAACCGCATGTCGGCGAGCTTGGCGTTGTTCCAGCGAATCCTCGGAACCTCGACAGGGTCCACAACGATGGATACCAGGGGCCCCCACTGGTGGCTGACAACGCCCGAGTCGCGGTCTCCGTAGAGGCGAGCGCCGAGGTGCTCCGACAGCGCGCGCACGGCCCTCTTGACGGCCAGCTCCCTGGCCTGTGTGTGACGATTCTTGTCGAGTCCGACGTAGAGCGGGACCGACCGACCAAGAGGGAGCTCGACGGCAAAGCGGCGCCACGTGCCACGGTCGCCCCGCAGTGCACCGAGAGCGTGGCGGATGCGCGAGTCCAGTGTCGCATCCATGTCGCCTTTGAAGCGGAGGACAAAGCGCCGCGAGATGCCAGAGCCCTCCAGATCGCACTGGTCGCCGATGGTGTAACCCGCCTCCTGGAGCCACGGGCCGATGGCGGCCTGGACTGCTCCAAACGGGACCTCCTCTTTGCAGTTGATCGTGAAGATTGCACGGTCGACCTCGCGGTCCCAGTTGGCTGATCGTTCGACGGGTGGCCGAGGACGCGATCGGGCGAGGTCAAGCTGCGACTCGAGGTGGCTGAGCCGCGCGGACAGGGCCACGACGCTGTCACCCTGCTCGGTGAGGCGCTCACTGAAATTCTGGAACCTGCGATCCATCTCCGCCAGACGCGAGTCAAATGACTGCTGGATGCGCTGCAACACCGGTGAGGTGGCCGCATCCACGGCGGAGCCCAAGTGCTTCTCCAGGACCATGGGCAGGGACTTCGCCATGGCCTCCTTGATCGCCGCATGGGATGCCGCCTTAATTTCAGCCGTCCACATCTCCCGCATACCAGCGAGCTCCGATTGGACAGCGGCGCGTGCAGAGGAGGCAGCCCATGGATCCACTCCAGCAGCAGGCCTCCCCTCGGCAGGAGGGGTCGCCGCGGCAGGCCCAGAATGGGACAGGGCTCCCAATTCACCGTATCCCTGTCCAGCACGATGATGGAGTGGTGGGGTCGACCAGATCTGTGATCCCAAGCTGCCAGCGGCGGCGCCACCGAGGTCCCCCACCAGCTCCTGCGACGGGAACGTGGGAGCAGCTGCCAGCTCCTCCAGGAGTGCCATTGTGTCAGGTGCAGCACGTGCGCGGGCTTCAGCACCAGTGGAGTGCTCGCCGTAGCTGCTGCGAGACCGCTGGCCTGGGGTCGAATCCTGCCCGCGCCGATCACGTCGAGCAGCCCGCGGTGTGTGCAAAGGAGTCGAAGCAGCAGACACGGGAGAGAGCCTGCCAGAGCCATCATCCGAAGGCAAGCGACCCTGCCTCCGTCTGCCAGGGGTGCCGTCACTCTTGACACTCTTCTTGACTTTCCCATCCTTCTTTTCTTTCTTCTCCTTCTTGTCCTTGTCCTTTTTCTCAGTGCGGTCTGGCATCCGTGGCGGGTGCCCGACTCCCGCAGTGAAGGCGAAACTCTCGAAGCTGCGTCGCCAGGGAACGGCTCACGCAGCGGTGCGATGAAAGAAACCGATGTCTAACCGCGGACTAGCGGTATCCACTTGTTTCCCCTGGGAAACTGAAGCCTTGAGCCAAAATGGCTACGGAAGACGAGGAGGAGGAGGAGGAGGAGGAGGAGGAGGAGGAGGAGAGCTCCTGGGGCATCTTAGGGGGCCACCTGAAGCTCCACTGGGCCGTCCGGGCCCTGTCTTGGGCCGGCTTGGGGCTTTCTTTGGCCGTTTTGGTGCGCTCGTCGGGGCCTCTTGGGCCATCTTGGGGCGACCGTAAAAGGCGAGAGTGTGGACAGTGTGCGCTGAAAACAAATGTGTTTGATTTCTGGCCTCGTGGGGCCGTCTTCGGAGTCCATCGGAGTCCTCGTGGGGCTTTCCCGGGCCGTCCCAGGAGCCCCTTGGGCAATCTCGGGGCCATGGTAGAGGACTGGGGCCGTCTGGGGGCTTGTTTGGACCCTCTAAGGCATCTCCTGTGAATGGGGGGCCACTGGAAGCTATCTTGCGCTCTCCGAAACGTTTTTTGAACCGACTTGGGGCCCTCGTTGGCCTTTTGGTGCGCTCGTCGGGGCCTTTTGGACAATGTCGGTGCGATCTTGGAAGGACCTGGAGCTGTGCGGGGCCGTTTTGGGGCCGCCATCGGGGGGCCGTTTGGGAGTTCACTGCGGGCCCTCTTGGGCAACTCCTGGCTTGGTGGGCTCCTAAAAGCCTCTCTCTTAGGCCATCTTGGAGCGATGATGGAAAGACCTGGAGCCGTACGGGGCCGTTCTGGCCCGTCATGGGGAGAATGTGCAAAACCTTACAATGCTTGAAGCGTGTTTGATTGTTTGTTCGGCTCGTGGGGCCGTCATCGGGGTCCTCCTCCTGGCTAGTCGTCTGGCCCTCTCGAGCCCTCCCGGCGCCCTCCGGAGCGTCGCAGAGCTCTCTTGGTGCTGTCTGAAGCCGTCTCGGAACCATCCGGCAGTCCCCTGAACCCGTCGTGGAGCGTTCTGGGGGCGCTCCGGGCGTTTGGGGGCGCTCAAGGGCGGTTTCTCCGGACGCCTGATTCGCGCGCGCCGACCCGCACCATAGAACAGACTGGCGTGCGCCCGTGGAAAATCCACGGGGGGCAGGTCGAATGAAACGTCGCCGACGCGAGCAGAAGAAGGAGAGGGACAGCGGCACCAGAAAAACAGGGGCGGGGCTCCCGCATGCAGAGGAGGAGGAGGAGGAGGAGGAGGAGGAGGAGGAGGAGGGGGAGGAGGAGGAAAGGGAGAAACCCACTGCCCGAAGGGGGGCAGCTAAGACACAGGCCGACCCGACCTTGCATCGAAGCTGTGGCCGGCCGAGTCCGCGCGGCCTCTCGGCGCCTGGAGCCGCGTGGGGCCGTTCTGGGCCCGTCATGGGGAGAATCTGGAACACATAGGAAAACACCAAGTTGTGCTTGATGTCTGTGCCTGTGGGGCCATCTTGGGGCCATGGTGGAGGTATGGAGCCGTTTGGAACCTGGTCTGAACTCTCTTGGGCAGCTCCTGGGGCGTCATGGGAGGCTACTTGAATCTCCGTTAGGCTCTCCGGGTCCTGTTGTGGACAGTCTTGGGGCCCTCTTGGGCTGTCTTGGCGGGCTCGTGAAGGCCTCTTGGGCCATCTTGGAATGGCCGTTCTGGGCCCGTCATCGGAGGAATACAGAAAACCCTGGACCATACACAGTTTTTGCTTCTTTGTTCGCCTCGCAGGGCCGTCGTCGGGGCCCTCGTGGGCCGTCTGTGGAACCTCCTAGCGAGACTGCGGCCCCTCTTGCGATCTCCAGAGCCCGCAGAGCTGCCGTCGGGCTGCATGAGGCCGTGAAGGCACCATGTGGCGACTCTCTGTGCCCGCAGGTGAGCGTCCCAGGGGCGCTCTGGGCGCTTGGGAGCACTCCGGAGCGTCTTTTTTTGGGTGCAATTTCCGCACGCGCCGCGGCTGGAATCGTAGGACAGATGACGTCGGGCTCCAACTTCAGCTCCCAAATCTCGCCGAGCAGAGCCAAAGCACGATGCCATTGCTCGCTTCTCTCACAAGCGCTAATGCCAGCGCTGTAGCTGATGACGTCGGGCTCCATCTTCGCCTCCCATATCTCGCTTAGCAGCGCCAGTGCCCGCTGCCACTGCTCGCCCTTCTCGCAAGCGCTGATCCCAGCGTTGTAGCTTACTAGGGCTGACCCGTGGACTCCGTCCACTTGCGGGGTGAAGGGGTGCTGCAGCAAGGCGAGCAGGATGAATGGCATCATGTTTGCCTGCCACATATCGCTGAGCTGCGGGGGCGCCAGGTAGCGCTGCGCGCCCGTCTGGGAGCTCCCAACGAGCCCCCAACGAAACCGACGGCGGCGGCGGCGGCGACGACAACGACGACGACGACGACGACGACGACGACGACGACGACGACGACGACGACGACGACGACGACGACGACGACGACGACGACGACGACGACGACGACGACGACGACGACGACGACGACGGGGGCGGCGGCGGCTGCGGCGGACGGGCTGCAAGGCTAGGCTGGCCCGATTCAGGGCCACTGGCCCGCTGGCCCAAAGTCGGCGGTGCCGATTCAGGGCGCTCCCCAGTCCGCCGTCCCAGAGTCTTGCCCCTCGCTCGCAAGGCCACGCGCGCCTCTGGAGTCACCCAGCCGATTTTGGGCCCCCGACCCGCCGGCTCGGGCCACTGTGGAAGGTCCCTGACGCCGTCTCGGGCGGGCGTGGACCCGAAAAGGCGATCAACCGAAAGTCCTTCAAATGCCCTATGAAAATCGTTGAGATTTGCCTCTTGGGCTCTCTCAGGAGCCCTCTGGAAGCGCTCTTGGGGTGTCTTTGGGTTTTTTCCGGCCTGCTCGAGGCCATCTTGGACAATCTTGGAGCCCTATTGGGTCATTTGGGGGCCCTCCTGAGCGTCCTGGACGGAGCCGTCTTGGCAGCCTGAGGCCGTCTTGGGGCACTCTGGGGCCAGCAGACTCGGGCAGTCTTGGCGGCGCCTCCGGCGGCCCACTTGGAACTCTCTGGGGAGCCTCTTGGGGGGTCCGTTTGGGGCTCTTTGGGGTTTTCCTGGGTGCTTTTTCGTGCCCTCCAGGGTCCGTCTTGGGCTGTCCTGGGGCCGTCTTGGGGCCCTCTTGGGCCGTCTTGGGGCTCTCTTGGGTGCCTCTGGGGCAATGTTGGGGCAGTCTTGGAGGCTCATCCGGCCGTCTTGGACGCTCTGCCGACCCAAAAAGCGAGCCTGCCAAAAATGCACGCTCGTGGGGGTCCTTTGGGGGGTCACAGGGCTCGTGGGAGCCCTTTGGGGGGCCAGGGGGGGCGGCTTGGGAGCGTCTGGGGCCGTCTTGGAGCCATCCGCGGGGCGTGCCGCGTCGATCTCGGGCAGTCTTGGACCGTCCGCTGCGCGCTCGGAGCCGCTCGGAAGGCTCGGCGGCGGCCCCGAAGGCCGCCCGGGGCGGCCCGAAGCGCCCGAGGGCCCGCTGTGAGCGGCCCGGAGGGGGCCGGTTCGCTGCCACTGCTCGCCAATCCGGGGAGCGGGCCGGCGAGCGCCTGGATGTCCGCGTCTCTGAGAGGCGACCGTCACGGGCGTAGCCGCGAACCCCCGTGCAGGAGATGAGCGTGAAGGAGGAGGAGGAGGAGGAGGAGGAGGAGGAGGAGGAGGAGGAGGAGGAGGAGGAGGAGGAGGAGGAGGAGGAGGGGGAAGAGGAGAGGGTGGCCTCTCGCGGGGCCTTCCTACGCCTCTCTCGGGGCTCTCTTCGAAGTTCCTGAGATCTTCTTGGGCTCCTTTGGGGGGCTCCTCGCGGTTTCAAGGCCGTCTCGGGAGGGGCCTCGAGGGCGCCAGGACGGAACAAAACAGAGCTTCCAAGTGTTCGTTTTGAGGGGCGCTCAAAACGAACAGTGCCCAGCCCCTGGTGGGGCCTTCCCAAGCCTCTCTCGAGGCTCTCTGCGAAGCGTCTGAGATCTTCTTGGGCTCCTTTGGGGGGGTCCTCCCGGCTTGAAGGCCGTCGTGGTTGGGGCCTCGAGGGCGCCACCACGGAACCAAAAAGAGCTTCGTGATGTTCGTTGTGAGGGGCGCTCAAAACGAAGGAGGAAGGAGGAGGAGGAGGAGGAGGAGGAGGAGGAGGAGGAGGAGCCGTCCCCTCCTCCTCCTGACGTTCCTTCTCCTCCTCCTCCTCCTCCTCCTCCTCCTCCTCCTCCTCCTCCTCCTCCTCCTCCTCCTCCTCCCCCTCATCCTCATCCTCCTCCTCCGCCAGATAGCGAGAAACCGACCCCCTCTCAATGAAACAGGTTTTCTGTTTTGGCTCCGATCGAGCGCGCGCCCGAACATATCAGCGCTGCTCTCTCGGATCACTGGAAGGGGGGGGGTCCACAGCCATGCGTGTTGGCCCTATGGTACAATAATACAATTGTGATCTCGACGAGGCTGCGCCGACGGATCCGAGCCAGATCCCCCGCGCCCTCGTTTCGGAGGTGTTTGACTTGGTCGAGGTGTTGGACCTGGTCGACGACAGTCCGCCTGACGCAGCATCGTCTCCAGCAGAATCGATTCAGAAATCATTCGACGAGAACGTGGCCGCCCTGAAGGCCGTCGGAACCGTCGTGGCCACGTGGGCGCTCGAGCCGACCAATTACAACACCGACCTCCTCGAGGGCATCGACGGTCTGAAGATGAAGATCGCAGAGACCCAGACCATGCTGGTCGGCTGCCCGACCACGCGCTTCGCGGCCGCTCAACTGCAGGAGAAGGTGGTATTCAGCCCCAACCTTGCTCCCGATCCTCGGCGCTGGCACATCCCCAACTCTCTACGCGGAAGCGTGGCAACATTACGAGTCCCCCACCCCTCGCAAAGGTAGGTGAGTTGAGGAGGTGCCAACGATATGGACGCGAGGAAGTTTGAGACGCGCCAGTTGGCCAGCATCAACAGTGAGCACCAGGAGTTGCAGGCTATCATCAAGAACTACACCGACCCTGGGAAGCAGCCCATCAAGCGCCACGCGAGTGACCCGATCTCGCCCGCGAAGGCTGCGAAGATCGGCCGCCCTGAGGATTCGCTGCAGCCGCCCGACTTTGAGACCGTTGACTCGCTGCCGCCGCCCGACTTTGAGTGCGCTGACTCGCAGGCGCCGCCCGATCAGTACGCTGACTCGCAGCAGCCGTTTTAGGTGGCCGACAGTGCATATGCGACGCCTCGCCCAGCCTCGCTCTTTTGCGCTTGCTCATCGCCCGCGCCCCGCTTGGCCTGAGACGCACGGGGTCTCGTTCTAAGGCTTCGCGAGGTTTTTCGCAACATATTCCGTTCCAGCATCGCAAGTATCCTCCGTCTCCTCCCCCTCCTCCGAAGCCCCGACGGCCAGAGTGGCCTACACGACTGGCAGGATGGCCCAAGACGGCCTCCAAGATGGCCTCCAAGACGGCCAAGATGACCCCATTACGGTCCAAGATGCACCGAAAACGGCCCACGATGGCCTCAGGATGTTCCAAAAAGGCCGAATGGGATGTTTCAAATGCGCTTGAAAGGTCCTGCGGTGTAGGTTGCGAGACTTTAAAGTCCAACACCGACGCAAGTGTCATTTCGGTTCAAAAATTATCCTGGCGAAGGACCCAACCATATGCAATTGTGAATACCGCAATTGTGAATATCTTCTTCGGTGGCGCTCCCTATGGGGCCACGAAACGTGTGAGGGGTGTGCCGAAATGGGTGCGCGGGACGCGTGCGGGCACACCCACTGGGACCTTCGGTGGAGCTCCCTATGGGGCCACGAAGCGTGTGAGGGGTGTGCCGAAATGGGTGTGCGGGACGCATGTGGGCACACCCACTGGGACCTTCGGTGGAGCCCCCTGCGGGGCCACGAAACGTGCGAGGGGTGTGCCGACATGGGTGTGCGGGACGCATGCGGGCACACCCACTGGGGCCTTCGGTGGAGCTCCCTATGGGACCACGAAACGTGTGAGGGGTCACGAAACGCGTGAGGGGTGTGCCGAAATGGGTGTGCGGGACGCATGCGGGCACACCCACTGGGGCCTTCGGCACGAAACGTGTGAAGAGCATGCCGAAATGGGTGTGCGGGACGCATGCGGGCACACCCACTGGGACCTTCGGCGGAGCTCCCTGTGGGGCCACGAACGCGTGAGGGGTGTGCCGAAATGGGTGTGCGGGACGCATGCGGGCGGCAGCACTGGGGCCTTCGGTGGAGCTCCCTATGGGGCCACAAAGCGTGTGAGGGGTGTGCCGAAATAAATGTGCGGGACGCATGCGGGCACACCCACTGGGACCTTCGGTGGAGCTCCCTATGGGGCCACGAAACGCGTGAGGGGTGTGCCGAATTGGGTGTGCGGGACGCATGCGGGCACACCCACTGGGGCCTTCGGTGGAGCGGGCCACGAACAGTGAATTCGGCGGATGTGAGGGGTGTGCCAGGTGTGCGGGACGCATGCGGGCGGCAGCACTGGGGCCTTCGGTGGAGCTCCCTATGGGGCCACGAAACGTGTGAGGGGTGTGCCGAAATAGGTGTGCGGGACGCATGCGGGCGGCAGCACTGGGGCCTTCGGTGGAGCCCCTTGGGGCCACGAACGTGTGAGGGGTGTGCCGAATTGGGTGTGCGTGACGCATGCGGGCGGCAGCACTGGGGCCTTCGGCGGAGCTCCCTTTGGGGCCACGAAACGTGTGAGGGGTGTGCCGAATTGGGTGTGCGGGACGCATGCGGGCGGCAGCACTGGGGCCTTCGGCGGAGCCCCCTATGGGGCCACGAAACGCGTGAGGGGTGTGCCGAATTGGGTGTGCGTGACGCATGCGGGCGGCAGCACAGGGGCCTTCGGTGGAGCTCCCTATGGGGCCACGAGACGTGTGAGGGGTGTGCCGAATTGGGTGTGCGTGACGCATGCGGGCGGCAGCACTGGGGCCTTCGGCGGAGCTCCTATGGGGCCACGAAACGTGTGAGGGGTGTGCCGAATTGGGCGTGCGTGACGCATGCGGGCGGCAGCACTGGGGCCTTCGGCGGAGCTCCTATGGGGCCACGAAACGTGTGAGGGGTGTGCCGAATTGGGTGTGGGTGACGCATGCGGGCGGCAGCACTGGGGCCTTCGGCGGAGCTCCTATGGGGCCACGAAACGTGTGAGGGGTGTGCCGAATTGGGTGTGGGTGACGCATGCGGGCGGCAGCACTGGGGCCTTCGGCGGAGC